TACTTAATTTACTTAAACAAGAACTATGAAAGACAACATTTCTAACAACATAAAGAATATATATACAGTGTTTACAAAGTATGGGCAGAATGGAAGATATTGCAATAGAGTATTGAAAAATGTTAGGTCAACTCTGAATATTTTATTATCTGCTGAAGTGTTCATTGAAGTCGCTTATTGCACATGGTAAGAAGGAGCATTTATGGTGGTAAGTTTCAAAGCTGAAACAATCCTGCCAGATTCGCTATTTTTTATGAATTTGTTAAGTGGATTGGTGGTGTCTTTTGCTATGTTGTTAATCTTGTTAAGTAGAGCAGTACATCTTCATATAAACAACTTATATATCTCACTTCAATACCTATGATTTTACTTGCTGACAATGTTAGCCTACTGAGACACTCGGAGTCTTTCATAAGTCACGTGGACCAGACAATATTACAAAAGACTGATTTTATGTGTATGATTTATTTTACGAGATATGCGTTAGTAAATCTGGTTATTTTATTTAATTACAGTATTTATTTAGGCACACAATACATGCACCACCAAGGTCACTGTCATACTTGTAGGTGACATTACCTATAACAAGACTATACACACAAAAAGCTTTACACAAACTAAGAGTCGTAAGAAAAACTCCTTCAACACTGACAGGAATTGAACCTAGGATCTTTAGAGTGAAAGCCGAGCACCTTAATCAACAAGCTATCCAACTCCACTCCCCATAGATATAATGTCCTATGTAATATTACCATTTGATTATCAGGCTTATATGTGTATTTGTGACATAAACATGCTTTCAATTCTGCATGTATCAAGATAATGCAATAAAAATAGTAATTGTTAAGCTTAGGAACACACGCAATCCCTTTCGATTAACATTCGGTTGCTAACAATCTGAGCAAGGGGCTATGCTGATTATAAGTCTTAAGTTTTGTAATTAACGTTATCTGTGCGTCCAGTCAAAAAATATAAATTAATATTACTCATGAATTTCAGAAATCTGTAATAGTACAGATGAGTATTTAAACATTGTGCAGAAAGCCATTAATTTTAAGTAATACTCTAAAATTATTTGATATATTTTATACATTAGTAGTAAATACATTTTTTCAGCTTGGTGGAATTACAAAACCAAATGACGGTATGTGTCACGTGAACAAAGAAGGTTTCTACGAATCATCGCTAGACGTTGTAAGTAATTTAGAATTGTGTGTTTATTGGACGATCATATAAATTTTATTTTTCATCCAATGGTTCATTCATACCTTCATTTACTCTCTCAATAATTTACTTACCTACCTAATAATTTGTTTAGTTTAATTATTCTGATATACGAATACTTCTTTACGTGGTGTGTAGTGATATATTAGATCTTTAAAACATTACACATTATCATTTTTGCAATTTTTTCTTATTATACATTGTTTGTTTATTATACATTTAAGTATTAGGCCTATAAAATGAATTTAATAAATATTTGGTATTTATATTGTCATAATATTTTTTTTATTTTTGATTTCATCTTTTATATACTGTATGTATATACTAAAAATTATACCGGTACTTATTCATCACACGCACTATTTCAGGATTTTCCATCGCTTGGTCAACTACATGAAATGATGTTGCAAAGAAATATAATTCCTGTGTTTGCTATTGCAAGGCAGACTTCGGAGAAACACTACCAGGTACGCCGCTGACAGCAGTCACTTGTGCGCATGCTCACAAATTACTTTACACACGATTATTATATCGTTTGAAACAACCAGTAGCACGCATTCTCACGAATGACATAGGCCTACTTTATTTTTAAAACAAATTAACCGTTGACCTACATAAAACTATTATGATATTGGCCTATTCAATAAGTTTAGAATATCGTAACATGTCAATAGCAACGTAGATATGCATAGGCCTACTGTTAACTCCTGCATTTACATCTTCTGTCTCTGTTTTACTTTCCCAATAGAATCTTGTAAAAGATTTCTTTCAAGGCGCTAAAGTTGCTCGTTTGACCGACAATTCGGAAGAACTCATTCGACTAGTTGTTGGAAGCTATGAGGTAAGATTGAATACTCCTTTGATTCTGTCTCTTATAC